TTCCTGTATTTTCATTGCAAATAAAACAACAGGAGTTCGATTTTTATTCTTTGGGGAGAAATAGGACACGGAAAAGAAATGGTGTACACAAGTGATGCTTTATTTACCAAGAATAGATTGCAGTAACAGGTTAGGACTCTGAGTGTCGCTGTTCACCAATCGGGGGAAAAAGGATAGCCAGGAATTTAATCCAAGCCACAAGATTTCTGCATCACAAAGCTCTGGCCCTGGGGCTTTACGGAAGCTCCAGACTGTACCCCCCCAGAGCTCCAACAACCAACCCTGAAAGCACTTTATCTTGGACCGCAAGATCCTGGGGCTCCTCAGGCCTCCTCCGAGGGAAAACCCAAACGCAAGCTACTCCGCGGCGGGGCTGTGATGGCGGCTCCGCCTTATCGCTCAGACTGCAGCGGGCTGGTCCGGATCTGCCTTCTCCTGGGGGCCCTGTGGAAAATCCGGGCCGAACAGATAAGCTACTCGGTGCCTGAGGAGCTGGAAAAAGGCTCCTTCGTGGGCAACATCGCCAAGGACCTGGGACTGGAGCCCCGGGAGCTGGCGGAGCGGGGAGTCCGCATCGTCTCCAGAGGTAGGACGCAGCTGTTTGCTCTGAACCTGGGAAGGGGCAGCTTGGTGACCGCGGGCAGGTTAGACCGGGAGGAGCTCTGCGACAGATCTCCAAAGTGTGTAGTAAGCCTGGAGATTCTCCTAGAGGACAAAGTGAAGATTTTTGGAGTAGAAGTGGAAATAATCGATGTTAATGATAACGCGCCCAACTTTGGAACAGAGCAAAGGGAAATAAAAGTCGCTGAAAGTGAAAATCCTGGGACAAGATTCCCTCTTCCAGAAGCTTTTGATCCGGATGTAGGGGTAAACTCCCTGCAGGGTTACCAGCTCAGCTCAAATGTTCACTTCTCCCTGGACGTGCAAAGTGGAGCCGACGGGATAAAGTACCCTGAGCTGGTTCTGGAGCGCGCTTTGGACCGCGAGGAAGAGGCGGTTCACCACTTGGTTCTTACTGCCTTCGATGGAGGCGACGTGGTTCACTCTGGCACCACCAGGATTCATGTAACACTCGTCGACACCAACGACAATGCCCCCGTATTCACTCAGCCCGAGTACCACGTGAGTGTTCGGGAGAACCTGCCGGTGGGCTCCCGGCTCCTCACCATAAAAGCCACTGATCCAGATGAAGGAGCCAATGGAGAAGTGACATATTCTTTCCGGAAAGTGAGAGATAAAATATCCCAACTATTCCAGTTGAATTCTGTGACTGGGGACATAACAATATTGGGGGATCTAGATTATGAGGATTCTGGATTCTATGAGATAGATGTAGAAGCTCACGATGGTCCTGGTCTCCGAGCGAGAAGTAAGGTACTGGTGACAGTTCTGGATGTAAATGACAATGCTCCAGAAGTCATGGTTACATCTCTCACCAGCTCTATCCAAGAAACTTCTTCCCCGGGCACAGTAATTGCACTTTTCAATGTGCATGACGGTGATTCAGGAGAGAATGGTCTTGTCACATGTTCCATTCCGAATAATCTGCCATTCACACTTGAAAAGACCTACGGAAATTATTATCGGTTGTTGACACACAAAACTCTGGATCGGGAAGAAGTCTCAGAGTATAACATCACAGTAACTGCCACTGACCATGGAACTCCACCACTGTCCACAGACACTCACATCTCACTGCAGGTAGCAGACATCAATGACAACCCGCCTGCCTTTCCTCATGCATCTTACTCTGCCTACATTCCTGAAAACAACCCCAGAGGAGCCTCCATTTTATCCCTGAGTGCCCAGGACCCAGACAGCATTGAGAATGCCAGAGTCACCTACTCCCTGGCTGAGGACACACTCCAGGGGGAGCCTCTCTCCTCCTATGTCTCCATCAACTCTGACACCGGGGTCCTGTATGCACTGCGCTCCTTCGATTATGAGCAGGTTAGAGACTTGCAACTACTGGTGACAGCCAGCGACAGTGGGGACCCTCCACTCAGCAGCAACGTGTCTCTGAGCCTGTTTGTTCTGGATCAGAATGACAATGCACCAGAGATCCTGTACCCTGCTCTCCCCACTGATGATTCCACCGGCGTGGAACTGGCACCCCGCTCTGCAGAGCCGGGCTACCTGGTGACCAAGGTAGTGGCAGTGGACAGAGACTCAGGTCAGAACGCCTGGCTGTCCTACCGTCTGCTCAAGGCCAGCGAGCCAGGGCTCTTCTCCGTGGGGCTACACACGGGCGAGGTGCGCACTGCGCGGGCCCTGCAGGACAGAGACGCGCTCAAGCAGAGCCTGGTGGTGGCGGTCCAAGACCACGGCCAGCCCCCTCTCTCCGCCACCGTCACACTCACCGTGGCTGTGGCTGACAGCATCCCGGAGGTACTGGCCGACCTGGGAAGCTTCAAACCCTCAGCTAACCCTGACGACTCGGGCCTCACTCTCTACCTGGTGGTGGCAGTGGCTGCTGTCTCCTGTGTCTTCCTAGCCTTTGTCATCGTGCTCCTGGCGTTTAGACTGCGGCGCTGGCACAGGTCACGCCTGCT